CGCCTCTGTCGCTCCCCGCCGCGTCCCCGCCCGCCCGTCCGTCCGCCTGCCCGCCCGCCCCGCCGCGGTGCCGCTCGGAGGAGGATGATCCGCGAGTCAGGGCGGCTGCTCCCGCCGCCGCATCCCTGCAACACCGACTGACGGCAGCAATAGCACCAGGGCCCGCCCCCCGGGCGCGCGCATTGGGCCGCGCTGCGCTAACTGACGCACGCCGCAGCCAATGAGAAGGCGCAGACCCCTCCGGGCCCGCTGCTCCACTGGCCCATCTCCCTCCCCCGCAGGGGGGGGACCCAGGCGTCCCGGCCCCGGGGCATCCGAGCTGTTCCGAGCTACTCGCAGGCCTCCACCCCAGCGTCCGGGCCCTCGACTATGCAGACCGCAACCCAGCCTTAGTGCTTTTCGGGCACCCAGCGCCTTAGTCCCCCGACGAGTGGGTCGGGCCCTCGGGTCCCGCACCCCCACTCCGGCGGGCCCCTGTGGCAGCGTCCAGGGCTGAGCCAGACGGAAGGGAAGGCTGTGGGCCCCGACCTGGGGCTCCGGGGAGCTCCGGCGTGGGGCCTGGGCCGCAGCGCCCTCTGCTGGCTACGCCCAGGGGCAGGCCCGGGCTGCGGGCAGCCCTAGGGAAGGGGGGACCTGCCCGCGGCTGCTGGTGACTTTTTCCAACCCACAGCCTGGCCCCCGTCTTCCAATGCCCAGGGCCCCCTGGCTTGGAGCCCCCAGACCTAAGGAGGACTTTGCTGTAATAAGAATTGAGGGGAGGGGAGGGAAAGGCAGAGAAGGGGGCAGGGTAGACCTAGGGGCTTGGAGTTTCCCAACCCTGCCTCTTGGGAATCCCAGAGTTTGAAGCATGAGGCCCTGCCTGGAACACTGTGCTGGGGGGTGGGGGGGAGTAGGTTTGGGAGCCGGGACGAGGATGCACATTCGCTGCACCACTGGAAGGAAATGGGCTTCCTCTCCCCTAACCCCAGTATGAGTGTGGCACTGGGGGAAGGCAGGTCTTTCCTCGAAGGGCATCTGTCTGCATCGCTATGCGTGCATATGCGTTGGGGGGCACCCCTTCACTCACTGACCAATAAAAGGGGGAACTAGCATCTTGTGTGTGTACTACAAAGCTGGACGTTGGGTTCTGAATGAGGCTGTGTGTGTGTGTGTGTGTGTGTGTGGTTGTGTGTGCCAGGCTGTCCTGTTTGCCCCAGGACTCTGATTTCCTGCAGCAGGTCTGTGATCTGCACAGCTGGTGGTGGTTAGCACTTCCTTACCCAGAGAGAGCATGCATAAACACCACACCGGAACCACTAGTGCAGGCAGGCGTGTGCACATGGGGGGCACACTCACAGCCATGCACACCTGTACATGTACACACAGGTGTTCTCAAAGGCACACACTGGGTCACCTGCAGAAATAACCCACCCAGGAAGCACATGCTTTGCTAAGAGCAGACACACAACACAGTTGGGGACACATTCAGAGGCAGACACATTGGGGGGGCTGCCCTGGGGTCATCGTGCCCCCCCGGGGTACTTTGCACAGAGCCCTTGGTTACCTAGTGGGATGAGCACCAGCACCCACCTGTCAGAGGGGCACTCCCTCCCCAGCCTGTGAGAGGGTGAAAGGGGGACCCACGCTGCAGGGGGAGTTTTTTAAGAGTCAGGAAGGAGGACCCCTGAGCCAGGTCCTAGACTTGAGGCCCCACTGTGACCTTGGAGAGACCCTCAGGCCAGCCTCACCGAGGCCATCAGAGGAACTGCTGAGTCAGGGCTGTAGATGGGAAATGATGTCTCAGACCGGCCCCCACCTCCCTGCCCTGCCCAGCCCCTGCCACTCCTCTCCCTGCAGCCTAGGTAAGCCACACACACACACACACACACACACACACACACACACACCCCACAGCTGTCCAGGCACCAGGGCATAGATGCGTGGAGAGTGCAGTGGCTTACAGACACCCTGCCTCCCAGATCCTGATAGACAGGCCCGGAAATGGGGGGAGGGGGCAGGGGCAGGGAGGGAAGTGAGCTCCTGTCCCCAGGGCCAGCTCTCTCTGGGCTACCTTTGCCTATCAAGGGCAGGAAAGGTCACCTGGCAGCGCCACACCTCCCTGCTCCTCCCCCCAGCCACAGGCTGTCTCCTCCAAGGCCCAAGGTTCAGACCACTCATGCAGAGGGGCCTCAAGAAGTCCCCCTGCTCACCCCCACCCGCCCAACACGGACACTCGCCTGGTGGGGTGAGCACGCGCCCCTCCCCAGACACAGTCCTGTGGGGACGGGGAGTCAAAGCAGATACAGCGGCGTGTGTCCATGCAGTCACACACACACACTCAACACGTTGTGAAGCTCAGACACACACGCCCGTGACAAGCCAGCCCCACGTCACACAGCCGGCGGGGCAGGCACCCACCTGGGTCCCCATGCAAACACACACACGCCCTGGGAAGAGGCCAGGCTGGGTCTGGGGGTGGCGGGGAGGTGAGCCGCTCAGGCTGCGGGGATGCAGGCAGCGCGGGAGGCGGGCGAGCTCCTCTTGACAACACAATCGCCCGTCTGTTGTTATAGCAACTCGGCCCCCAAATCGTGAAACGGATATTACAGCCTCAGGAGGGGGAGGGGTGGGAGGGGGCTGAGGACGGAAGGAGGGGCCGAGCAAGGGACCCTTCGGAGGACAGGGCTGGGGGGGCCCACCCAGGGCCAGGAGTGCCGCTGAGATGTAACAGGGGGGAGGGGTGACCCAAAATGAGCACTGGGCCAGGGGGAGTGGGGGGCTCTCAAAGCGAGAGGTGTGGAGGGACAAGGGAGCCCTGGGGGAGTGGGCATTGCCAGGCCCACAGATAGGCGCTTTGCAGGTAAGAGTGGTGCTCAGGCCTCCACGCCCAAGACACATCCCCAGCATGGGGGGCAGAGGAGGGAGCTCCCATTCTCGCGGCTGCTGTCTTGAGTCTCCAGACCCAGCTTCAGAACCATCAGGAGACACCCCCCCCAGCCCACCTTCCCCTCCCAGGGGCCATAGCCTTCCTCAGGCAGCGGTGACCCCCAAAACCTCCGAGCAGCATACTCAGGAGGGAAGGGCTGGGTTGGGAGAGGCCGCCGGACGCTAAGAGCTGGATCAATAAGCATTTCCTCTGGAAGTCACTGTCCTTCCGCCGACAGCAGCACAGGCCAGGAGCCTGCCAGCCCCGGAACGAAGCCCCCACCCAGGGGCCTGAAGGCCCTGCAGGGGCCACGGCAGGCCTCCTCCCTACCCCAGCCTGCACTCTGAGCTGCCCCTCTCCTTCCCCTCTCCCACGATTCTCTTCGGTGAGCTCCCCTTTGCTGGAGGTGTTCAAGCCGGGGCTGTAAGCAAAGGAATACCCGCTTTGGGCTGGAGGCGATGGTCCTAGATAACCACTGCCTCCCACAATCCTGGGATGCACCTCATGTTTCCAGTTGTAGACCCCCAAGATCCTGGAACCACCCCCAAAATTCTTATGTTCTAGTTCTACTCCAAGATTCTCATCCCAAGTGTGAGTGAACAAGAAGACCGTCCACAAGATGGATTAACACAGGGGCTGCGACCATGGGCTAAAACATGGCGACAGTTGGGAGGATGGCGCGGGACCAGGCCGTGTTTCTGTCGCACCTAAGGCGCTATGAGTGGAAGCAGCTCAGCACCTGACAACAATTTTCCAGACACGTGAGAGTCTAGATCTCCCAAGATCCTCTGGCTACAAAGTGCTAGAGCCCAAGACTGTAGTCCCTGAGGATTCCGGCCCCCTGGAAGTCTAGGCTCTGATTGCAGGGTAAGTACACGGGCCTTTTTATTCCATCTGGAACATAGAAATATTCACATGAGTCTGTACAACCTTAGGGACACCAGCCCTGGCCCTGCCCTCAGCCACATGCCACCCCACCCCCCTGCCCCAGCCCCAGCTTCCTGCCCCGCACCCCCAGGCTCCCTGCTCTGGTCCAAGTCTTTTCTCCACAGCAGGCATGCGTCCTGGATCCAGTCACAGCTGGGAAGAGAAAAGAGGTTGTAAGGGACACCCTTCCCAACAAGGTAGGCATCCACCTGGCCTGGGCCATTGGGACCAACCCTCATTTCCCTGCTCTCCCCACCCTCACCTGCCCTCAGTGGGAAGACTGGGGCAGGCCCTGGGAGGACTCACCCTCTGTTACAGCCCATTACAGGTGGATGTCAAACACTCCCTCCTCCACCGTCTGTACCTCCTCCTCTCGGATCTCTGCAGGGAGAGGGGGGTCTCTGGGTCCCTATCAGCTCAGCAGCCCTTCCCCCTACACACACCCAAAGGCACCCCCCGCCGCATCCCGAAAGCAAATGCATCCACCAAAAATCAATTCACTGGATGACCAAAGGGGCCGACTTTTGAGGCTCTTTTTCTAAGTTTTCACTTTGCCGCTTTTGCAGCCACAGATCGGTCAGTTTCCTTAAATGTCAATTGCGTGTGTGTTTCACGTTGTAGCTCCCAGCCCTTTGCAAAGGCTCAATGCAGACAGTTTCCTCTTTCCTATTTTTAAGGCCTTATGCCCTGTGCCTGCCTCTACTTTGGAGAGCTTATCCCAACCCAAATGGTCATGGTCAACTGTCTTCAACCCCAGTTTAGCTTCATTATTCAGACTGTTCTCAGAAAATTTCAGGTGGCGAATTGTCTGTCAGTCAGCAAATTGACCCCAAACCACCAGCGGCCCCAAGACAGCCGGTGGGAAATTATCAGTGCAGAGGACGTTCGTTCTCAGAGCGGCCTCCGGGACAGGCAACTGGCTCTCGAATCCTTCATGAATTCCCCTAACAAAATAGGAGTGCAGCTGGAGTCTTGAAGCCCCTTTCACTCTTGTGCTTCTTTATAAATAAGGGTTTCTCTCCTCCCTACCCTCAGAAGGTCAAGGGGAACCTTCCGGCACCCTTACCTGTCCAACCTTTGCTCATCACCCCACCAAAATAAGAATAGCTCAGCTCAAGCTGAGGAACAGCTCCCATGCCGTGTAAGTTACTACATGGCCACGGCACCGTCTCCCTCTCTCCCAGGCCAGTAAAGAATGAGACCCACCCTTACCTGGAGGCCGGGAGCCTCGCCTGCCCGGACGAGGCAGGGAGAAGCTGAAGGCGCGGTGGTGGGTGTGTGTGGGTGAGGGTGAAGGTGCAGACCCCTCCAGGCTCACACTCTGGGCCCTGCGCCGGCACTCGACGGAGAGGCGGTCCTTGCACTGTTTGTGGCAGTTCACACCACAGGCTAGGGGAGGCAGATGAGGAGCCCAGGCAGGGACCATTGGTCAGAACACCCTCCATCCCATTCGGCAGGTCTCTCCCTCTCCCAGGTTCCTCCAGAACAGCTGCCCTACCAAAATAAGAGTCTCTTTCTAAAGTCCTCTCTTCACCTTACTCAGCAGTCTGTGCCCTCTCCAGAATTCTAACCCTGGGCAGCTACCTCACCAAAATAAAAGTCCTCTTAAAAGAAACCCTTCACATCAATCAGCATGCTTCTCTCCCTTTAAGGAACTTCACTCCATGGCAACCGCCCCACCAAAATAAGACTCCCCACCCAGATAGCCACATTCCAAGAAAACCTTTCTTGTCCACTCAGTCCAGTAGCCCTGCCATTCCATCTCACCTCGGCATTTGAGGCCCTGCTTGTAGATACCTAGGATCTGGAATAAAGGAGAGGGCCGTGCTGGGGGGAGGGGTTGCACGACACAGAAGTGACCACCTGCCTCCCCTTCCTAGACAGCAGGGACTAGGATGACCTAGGTTTGACAGGTTGAGAAGGCACCAGCAGGGGCGGGGCCAGGCCAGGACTGAAGGCGGGGCACGAATGGGCGTGGCATAGGCTGCAGGGCCGGGCCCTGGGCAGGGACTCACCAGGGCCTTGCAGTGGCGGCAGGCGACAGGCCGCAGGGAGTTGCTCTCCTGGAAGTTGTGTACAAAGCCCATGCGGCTGCCCAGCACCGAGCTGGAGCGCAGGAAGTAGGAGACCATCTCCTCCCTGCTGATGCAGCCATCCCTGCGCGGGGAGGAGGAGCCTCAGAATGGGCCTTCCCCAGGACTGCCGCCCCCCCCCACCCATCCCACTGGGAAATCCCCCCACCAAATTAAAAAGTCCTCAGGGAACTCCTGATTTGGGGCACCTGACGCAGGGAGAAAGATGTGGCAGGTCTGCTTCCCTAAAGATGACAGCCTTGGAAACCATGCAGGCGGTATGTGAGTTGGAATCAACACAGGGCAGTGGGGTTTTGTTTGTTTGTTTGTTTTGATGCAGAAAAAGAAAGAGCACTACACTCGGAGTCAGGCAGATGTAGCAGCCGCCACTGACTGGTAGTGGGGTCTTGAACAAGTCGATATCCCTTGGCTTCCTCTTCTCACAGTGCGGATAAGAGTGCCCACCCTGCCCTCCTCATGGAGTCGGTGTGGAGACTAAAAGGGGCTGTGCGCCCTCACTACCCACCTCCGTTTCCCAAAGTGTGCTCCGTGGAGCACCAGTGGGAGCCCTGAGAATTAAGAGCCTCTGAAGAGCTGTGGGCAGGTAAGGTGGGGAAGACCTGGGCCCACCCCGCTCCTGTGTGATCCTGCGGGAAAGACATCTGGACTCACATGGCCCCTCTTTTCACCTATTAACGTATTTTGGGGAAGGAGTGAGCATGGACCCTGGAGGTAGACAGATCTCAGTTCAAACCCCAGCTCTGTTACTTTCTGGCCATGTGACCTCCGGCCGGTTCACTTCCCTGTGCCACAATCTCCTCTTCTGTCAACCAAAAACCAAACCAAACCTGTCACCGTGGAGTCGATTCCGACTCACGGTGAGCCTAGAGGACAGAGTAGAACTGCCCCATAGGGTTTCCAAGGTCATCTTTACACAAGCCAACTGCCACATCTGTCTCTTGTGGAATGGCCGGTGGGTTCAAACCGCTGACCCTTCGGTTACCAGCCAAGCCCTTCACCAAAAGGGCTCCTTCCTCATCTATAAGTAGGGATATGTGGTTCCCACTGCTCCTGGGTTCTCGTCAGTCAAGTTAGGTGATATATGTGAAGTGCTCACGGCAGTGTGTGTGCAGGTCCACACACGTCCTCCGCCAAGAGAGCGATTTCACTTGGGGCTGAGGTTCCCGTGTGAAGCTGGGGCCCTCACAGATCTGTGGCCTGGAGACCTCTCCCAGTTGTGTTTGGAGACCCATTACCCTGTCCTGTAGGGTCACTATGAGTCTGAGTAGCCTTGATGCCAAGGGGTTTGAATGGGAGCCAGGTGGTCCTTCAGATCACTAGGGCACTGGGACAACTGCCAATCAGAGTGGATAACGCGGGCACCCAGAGGTGCCTGGGAAGAAAAACCCGGTCGGTCATTGATCTGCTGAACCCTATGGGGTGCAGTTCCGGTCTGGCACACATGGGGGCGCCGTTGAGTTGGAACAGACTCCTAGGTAACTGGTGGGAGTAGGGCCTTTGGACAGAGAACACAAATCTAAGAAGCCCAAAAGGAAAAGACGGACATATTAAGCACACAACAAGTGTTCGATTTTATGTGGAATAAGACAACATAAATGACAGACGGGAAGGAGATATTTTCAAACACAATCAACAGGAAAGGGTTAATATCCATTAACAGAGATTCTGGAAATCAATGAGACAAAGGCCAACAACCCTGGGGAGAATAACGAACAGAGAATATGAGCAGGCGATTAAAAGAAGAAAAATAAATGGCCGATAAACACATGAAAAGATACCCCACCCCCACTAATATTAAAGAAATGCAAATTGAACCAAGACACCGTTTGCCAATCAGGCCGGCAACCATTTTTAAGCCTATTATAGCATCCGGTGTTGGCAAGACAGCCAGGCAATGGCACTGGTCCGCTGCTGATGGGACTGCAAACTGGTGCAACCTTGTCTGAGGTCAGTTGGCACAGCCTCTCTCCTAATTTAGAATGTCAGTATCTTTTGTTCCAATTATCCCACTTCTAGGAATTTCTCCTACAGAAATGCTGCCCGGAGCGAATCAGTACAAGGATGTTTGCGGCAGCCCGGCACAGCATAGTGGGAAACTGGGAACGGTCTACCTGTCCATCGCCAGGAGAGTGGTTAGGTAAACGCGAGTCCAGCCACGCCGTGGAATGCTTTGCGGCTATTCTACAGAATGAGGGGATTCTACATGAATTGATGTGGCAGGATGTGCATGCTAAAGGGTTAAGGGGACAAGAAAAAACAAAAACACAGGTGTGCAGTTCCGACAAGACAGTGATCTTCAAAGACCCTACAAACCCCTCTGCTACAAACATCTAGAAATACTGGCTGAAAATATATCAAGCATTCTTTTCAATGCAGAGATGAGTCTGCAAGAAAAAAAATAGTTCCAGAAACTGAGAGGAAGCTTCAGGATGAGACAGTAAGCTGGGGATTGCAGCTGCCCTGGGAGGGGGTTGCTGGTCTCCCTCCAGGTTTTGTACCCAAACAGGGCCCAGCAAGCACAATAGTCTATAGTAGCAACAACAGTCCCAGGCCACAGGGCCACTGGGGAAGAGGGAGGAATTAAGGCTGAGGCCTGTGCGAAACAGGGACCCTCAAAGTTCTGTGGCCTGGAAACCTCCACTAGTTGTATTCGAGGACCCATTACCCTGTCCTGGACGGTCGCTATGGGTCTGAATTGACTTGATGGCAAGGGGTTTGAATGGGAGCCAGGTGGTCCTTCAGATCACTAGGGCACTGGGACAAATGGCCATTCCAAAAATATACAGACACCTAGATCCTTCCTCCCATTGGCCATGAATGCCAAATTCCTGCCAAACTAAGAGTACAAATGTAAAACTACAGAAGTACCTGAAGAGGTAGGGGAGGAGATTTCTGTAATCTTGAGGGGATAAGGGCCTGCCTGGGAGCCTGTGTGCCAAAAGGGCTTCTTCCGCATGTATAAGTAGGGATGAGGGTCGTGCAAATGGTTAACACGCCCAGCTGCTGACCGAAGGCTGGAGTTCAAGTGCACCGAAAGGCACCTCAGAAGAAAGCCCTGGTTACCCCTTTCTGAAAAATCAGCCTTTGAGAACAGAGTTTGCACTCTGGGGAGCGGGAACTAGCACACAGTGCGCTGTGAGTTGAACTGACTCTAGGGCGGCTGGAGGCGGAAGGGCCTTGCTACAGGGAACAGCCATCCGGGAACCGAAAGGTCTCCAAGTCCTGCACCCTTACTGAAAGAGTGGCCCGGAAAAATCCACCCGCCGCCCCACAGAGACGAGATGGAACTTGTCCACCTTTGCCTCGCCTCTGCGAGGAAAAACAAAGCCACCAACACAAAAAGCCAAGGACAGAAGGAGACTTGTACTCTTACTGTCTGCCCGTGAAGCAGACACCAGACCAACAAAACGGGCATCCCTGTGTCCAAAAAAGACCGAAATGGGACACATCTTGATACTGCTGACCCGTTAACTTTGTTAACAGTGTCGAGAGTGGTTACCTCTGCCAGCTGTTCTTAACGGTGTTAACAGTGGTTTCCTCCTCCAGTGTTAACAGTGTGGGCGGTGGTTACTTGTGCTGGTGGTGTTAACAACGTTAAGAGTGGTTTACTCCCTCCAGTGTGAACAGTGGTAACCTCTGCCAGCTGTTGTAACAGTGGTTACCCCCTCCAGTGTTAACAGTGTGAACATGGTTACCTGTGCTGGTGGTGTTAACAGGGTTAGCAGTGGTAACCTCTGCCATGGGCAAGGTAGGCAGGAACTTTCACTTCTTACTTCAAACACTGGGTTCACTCTAAATTTATCTTACTATCAGGATTTTTTTTTTAACCATGAATTTTTATAATTTGAGAAAAAAAAAAAAAACCCAGATTTTCAAAATATAGGTAACATTAAAAAAAAAAAAATCAATCTGGGTGGACAGTCCCTTTTGATTTGGGATTTGCCTGCTCATCAAAGCAGGGCCAGGGACATTGGGGGAGGGCAGGGAACGTGTTTAACCTACTTCAGCAAACCAGCTGTTTTTCCAAATTGTCACCATATGAACTGTTGACAAGCAAGTGGCTGGTGCTAGTGGCAGGCCTCTCTCATCTGTTCATTAAAACAGGCTGCCCGGGAACTCGACTTGCCCACGCTGTTGCCAGCTGTGAGCTCTACAGATAAAAAGGAATTGTCGTAGCAGTGTCCCCAGGTCAACTCAGGCAGAGCCCCCCAACTGTCTGCACGAGGGAGGTAACACTGAGCCTCCACAGCTGGCTGCCTCCCCACCAAAATAAGAGCCCCTCTCTGCCTTGGTGGCTTCCTCTGCCGAGATCATTTGGTTCAATGGCCTTGGCTTGCACAGGAAGAAACAGAAGCCTGAAGGGGAAGTGAACTGGGCCGCTTTCCCTCTCCCCCAGTCTCCCAGCCCTCTGGGCCTCCTCACTGGTTCTGGTCGAGGTCCCCAAAGGCGCTGAGGTAAGGGAAGTTCCCACGAATGATCTGGAACTCTTCCTGTGAGATGTGGCCATCCCCGTCAACATCAAAGTTCCGGAACACAGACTGGGGGCACAGAGGGACACAAGGGGTGGGAGTGGGCACAGCAGAAGGAGCATCGGGCCTGAGTCCCACATGTTACAAAGGTGTGTCTGAGATGTGGGCGGCTCTCCGGCTTCCCCACCACCTCCCTTTCCCATCCCCCAGCTGACCCCACTCATCAGCATCTCAGTGCTGCACGGCCAACTTGCTACACCCTGTGTCTTCTGGGACAGAGCGCCGGGGGAAATGTCACTAGGGTGGCTCCCGGGGTGGTGCTCTGGCAAAGCTCCCCGACGACCACCAGCAGATTTGTCCCCCAGCCCTCAGGCTCCGGAACCGGCCGCCCGGAGTCTCACCTCCACCATCTTCTCGATGTGCTCTGCCACAAGGGCCTGGTCCAGCTTGGGCTTGGCAGCTGCAGTCCATTCCTCTAGCACCGGGGGCCGGGGAGGCGGTGGCGTGCAGCTCGTGGGGCTGGTTGGCTGTGAGAATGAACAAGCTGGGCTAGGGTCAGGGGTTGAGGGAGTCCAGGACCCCAGGGCAAACCCGGGGGGAGAAGGGAGCCTGTCCAAGGTCACTGCCTCAGTGTCCCCATGTGTCCAACGAGCAGAATGAGTGATGTAGCTGCTAAGAATTCTTCTTGCCCTGAAATCTCAGGGTTCTCAGGTGGGGCAGAGGTGGGGAGGGAGAGCTAGGTAGAGTGGGGAAGCAGGACCTCTCCTCACCGAGGACTTGCAGCGGGGCTCTCGCTGCAGGGACAGCTGGTATAACTCATCCTCTGTCTGGTACTGGTCCAGAGACACCTGGAACACATGTGTCACACCAGCCTGGCCCCTGTTGCTCTCAGGAGCCCACTGCTAAGAGCCCAGAGTCATAGCCCAGAACCAGATTCAGAACCTAGACTCAGCCCACAGCCCATTCAGAACACACCTTAGCACCCACAAGCCAACCTAGAACTCAACCCACAACATAGCTTGACCCCCAGCCTAGAACCCAACCGAGCATCCAGAATTTAGCTCAACCCTGACACCAGTCCAGAGCCTAGAATTCGCTCCAAACCTTAACACATAAGCCCTAGCCCAATATCGAACATCTAGTCCAGATCCAGACTAGAACTAAAATCACCTACTCTAGACTCCAAGACCTTGCTGAGAACTTTTTTCAGAGCTAGAACCTCCGAGCCCAGGACCATGTCTAGAAGCCAGCCAAGGACCCAGAATCCAGAGCTTGGTCCCAAATCTAGAAGACACCTGCCAGGAACTCAACCCAGGACCCAGGCCCAACGTCAAAGCAGCCTGAGGTCTCCATCCCAGCCGGTAACCACACCTTAGTCCACAGCCCCATCTGGTGCCCAGAGCTCAGCTCAGAGTTCTTTCCAAACTACAGAACGCAGCTAGAGCCCGGAACCCAAAGCCAAGCCAGAGCCTCATGTAAATAAAGGACCAGATGTAACTGCCACTGGGCCAATCCTGCCGCTGGGTCTGTCGGCTTCCCACTCCCCGGCGCTCACCGTGAGCAGGCTCAGCAGGTCGGGATTGGCTTGCACTGGTGGCCGCAGGCTGGTCACCATGGCCAACTCCTCCAGGATGCTGAAAAGCTGCTTCATCTTGGCCCCATTGAGCCGGGTCCGGGCAGGGTCCAGCCAGTCAGGCAACGCCAACTGCAGGGCGACCAGGTCCTTGAGGTGCACCCCGAGGATGGGGAAGCGGAAGCCCACACAGGCTGCCAGCCGGCGTCGATAGTTGCCATAATTGCCTGTGGCTGTCACTATTTCTGTCAGACCTTCCCAGAGCTGGAGAGGCAGAGAGCAGAGGGTTACTCACACACACACACACACTTCTTCACAATCTCAACCATTCTCTCCCCCACCCACCCCGGAAACGTGGGAGAAGATGAGGAGCCAGGGCCAGAGGGGGGTGAAAGTTCAAATCTTCCCTCCCTGCCCTCACCACTGGCTCCCTCAGTCCCCAGGAGTCAGGGCTCAGGGGTAATGAACTCAAGGCAACACCCACTCCCAAACGCCACACCTGAACACCAGGTGTGGGCACAGACTACCATTAACATTTAACAGAAGCAGAAACTGAGGCTCAGGGAGGTGAGGCAGCCCCGGACCCAGAAGAGCATCGTTCGTGATAGCAAACGTGGAGCAGCCCAAATGTTCAACAATAGAAGAGAAACAGAAAGTAGGGGAGAGACTTACAATGAAACATTACATGACAACGAAAAGGCATGAAAGATTGCTCCACACCACAGAAGGTAAGGATGTCACCGCCATGTGGGATGAAAGACATAAGACACAGACAATGTATCCAACATGATTCCAGTTATCAAAAGACAAAAAGGAAAAAACCCAACCCATTCCTGGTGAGACCATTCCACTCATGGAGACCCCGCGAGTGACAGACCAGAACCGCTCCAGACGGTTTGCTTGGCTGTCACCTTTAGGGAGGCATATCACCAGGAATTGCTTCCGTGCCACAGCTGGGTGGTTCAACCCACCCATCTTGAAAGTTCAGTCTTCAAGTGCAAACCATGTGCCCCACCCAGGGACCTCTGAGGCCAGTTATAGAAAGTTCAAAACCAGGCCACAAGAAACCGCCCCCCACCCCCTTTTGGGGTGCACAGATAGGTGAGAAGGCTAAAGAGTGAAGCAAAGTCATCATCCCCACAAACGTCCCAGTAGTGGCTCCCTCTGGTGGTCGTGGGGGGGACCTTGTGTTCTAAGACACTGGGAGCTTCTGGGGGCTGGGAAAGTTTTTGATCTTTTCTTTATAATTTCCCCCTTAAACTGGATGTATGTTTTATATACTTTTCTATATGCTTGTTAGATCACCTGAAATACTTTTTAAATAAATAAGAGGGAAGCAAAGCCCTGGAGTCAGGCTGACCTGGACTCGCCACTCTGTGGCTACCTGGTGAACCTGGGAAAAGTAGTTAACCTCCAGAATTTCGTCTGTCAAATGAGGGCCTAGCGCCCGGTGCCCAGGGATGCTCCGCCCCCTCCCCAGCCCAGGCACCTTGACAGTCTCAGGGCTGACATGGCTGTGTGTCTCCTTGAGGCGGGAGATGGAACTGTGACTCAGGCCCCCGACCACCGCCATCAGCGTGTTGAAGTTTTGCAACTGCAGCAGCTTCTGGTGGGGGGAGAAGGGGCGATGGGGGAAGGGAGGCAGAGAGTCACTGGATGGGCCCAGATGGAGTCCCACCTTTCTGGAGGTGAGGCAGCGTGTTCGTGGGAAGGAACATAGCACGGCTGGCTTCTCGGAAGGCTGGGGGCTTCGGGGCAGCAGGGCAGGGGAGCGGGGGCAAGCACCTCTGCCACGTGGACGAAGTGTGTGATGACCAGGGCTCGCTGGGGGGCCGTGGGCTTGCTAAGAACCATCAGCTGCACCCACTGCGAGACGCTGTTGAAGAGGGAGATGAAGCGCTCCAGGACCGGGTTGTCTACGGTGCAGCCGTGAGTCACGAAGCTGTGGTAGTCCTGGAACTGCCGTTGGGTGCGGCCTCAGTCTCCTCGGCGCTTGTCACCCCTGTTCCCTCCACCCCCTGCTGCCCCCCCCTCCCCCCGTGCTATCCGCAAGGACTCCACCTCCCTGCGCTCCCGCCTACCCCGGAAGCCCCGCCTACCCCCTGGAACCACGCCCCCCCGGGAGCCCCGCCCCCGTCTCCGCCCCATCACAGGCCCTGGGGCCACACCAGGATCTTGCAGAAGGAGCGATACTCTAAGTAAGTGAGATGCTCCGCCAGCTCCATGGGCTCTAGGTGGTCGAACAACAGGGACATCTTGCGCTTCTTCTGGGCCACAGGGTTCCGCTGGGTCACCTGCCGCTTCCACTTGTAGGTGGGGCTGGGGGAGCAGGGGGAGTGAGTCTTTTGCTGGGGAGCCCCACCCCTCAATGGCCCCACACTCCCGCAGACATACCACCCAGCTGAGTGAGTACAAGGTTCAAGGCACTGCCTGGGTAGTGCTGTCCCAACCCAGCCCGCTGATCTCCCCGGGTCATGCACTCAACACAACAATGCGTGGAACGCTGACAGGAAACATTGTTTCAACATTCATGGGACACGTTGGGGAAAGGCATAGGTGAAACAGAGGTGAGCAAGACAGGGTTGCTGGCCTCAAGGAGCTCACAGTTTCCTGAGGAAAAGACAGACACAGAAGAAACGGTAGCCACACATGCACAGAGCCTGTACAAAGTGCCATGGGAATGAGGAAGGACCCACTTCGGCCCTCCGAGAGAAACTCGAACTTGGGCTGAGTGTTGATAACATGAGAGAGGCAAGGGGAATGGTACGGACAGAGTGCATGGTGGGAGGGACACGGTGGGCTCCGAGGCCCGTGCATGGACCCGTGGAGCTGTGGCAGGAGGTGAGTGAGATGGGTGATGGGAGATGAGGCAGAAAAACCAAACTGGCCCGAGACTGGGATGGGTTTTGAAGGTGACAGGAAGCCGTGGAAGGTGTTGAAGCCAGAGAGTGACATGACCTTCACCCATTCGATTCAACAAGCATTTATTAAGCACAGATGGTGTGGGATGCGGGGCGCCCCCTTCAGCCCTCCGAGCCCCCCCACGCACACACTCTCGATGTCAATGAGGCTGCTGTGCCGTCGGTTCCCTTCTTGGTCTAGCAGAGCCTTCAGTTCCTTGATCTGCTCAGCCAGTTCTGGGTTCAAGTCGAACTCGGCTGGGAATGCTGAGATCCAGTACCTGGGGGAGGGGCAGAGTCACCCAGGCAGCCCTCCCCATGCCTCCCCAGTAGGCTGCCCAAGGGGCTTATGGGGATTGTAGTCTTTCAAAGAGGAATGGGGCCTATCACGCTTCAAACTGTGTCCCCTCGTGTCCATCCTCAACCGGCTCTTCCCGCTTCTTTAAAGCAGCCCCTTGAGACATCCGCCCCCACTGGGCAGATAAGAAAACCAAGTCCCAGAGGAGAATGGGGCAAACCCATGGAGGCACATCCCCCCCACACCCCATGGACAGAGCTGGGATTCACATCCACAAGGCCCAACTTCCAGGACAGTGTTCTTCCCACCCTCAGGCCTATCAGAGTCTGTAGCCTGAGAAGGTTGCGAGAGCAGTTACGGGAGAAACTCACCTGACCAGGTGACACGTTTTCACCTGCAGTGAATTGGAGTTGTCCTTGCGGGATTGCTGGTAGGTGAACGAGAGAGTTAAGGAAAACAAAGATAGAGCCTGACTCTAGCAAGGGAAGGCAGATAGGGCCTGAATTGTGGAGGGCCTGGTTCTAGGAGACATGCTGGGGGCTCAGCCTGGGATGGAGCGGGGCTGGAGTTCTGAGGATGGAGGAGGCTTGAGCTTCAGGAGAGGATGTGGAGCCGCGGCCTAGGCCTAGGTTCTGGAGGAGGTTGAGAGCAGGATCTGGGCTCTGGGAGAGAGGCAAGAGGCAGGGCCAGGGATGGGAGTAGGGCAGGTAGTCTCCGGGAGGATGAAGGCAAGGCCCAGGTTGGAGAGCGCCTGGGGGGCGGGGCTTGAGCTGTGAGGGGTGGAGCCTAGGCCCTCGCGGGAGTCTGGGGTGCAGCCTGAGTTCTGGCATAAAAGCAGGGCCTACCCTCCAGGGGCGAAGCTCAGTCCTGTCCGGGCTGGGCGACCGGACCCCAGGGTCCCCGGAGAGGACCTCAAAGGATATATGTGGAGCAGTTTTGCCGCCAGCTGAGAGGAGGGGATGTACCAAGGGTGCATCATAAGGAACATGCGTACGAGTTGCGGGTCCCGCACCTTCCCGGAGTCATCTAACTCCGCGGAATCGAAGAGAAGTGGCTTGACCCCTAGTCGCGCAGCTATGGTCCCCAACACTACCCCCAGCCCACCGCGTATCTGGGCCCTCCAGGGACACCCCTGAGCCCGCTCTCTCCCTAGCAGGCTGGATCTGAGGGGTGGGGGAAGGGATGCGTCCGGAGGGGAACCATCTGGGGAGGAAAGAGCCTGGGTTCCCTGGGTCAAGAGTCCAGAGGTCACTTCCTGAGTGCTGGGGGAAGGGGGCACTACTGCAGCAGATAGGCCGCCCCCCATCAGCCGGAAACAGCTCCCAGGCCGGAGATTGCAAGTTCCTCCGGATTCCCCCCCGACACAGATAATGTCTCTCAAGTCAGAGTCTGGGACCCCCCGGGCCTCCCTTCAACGCCGGCTCTGGCAGATTGGGGCAGGGCAACGTTTTCTTTCTCTAAAGCGTGGGGGTCTCTCTACCCTGCGATGAGGTGAAGGTTTTCGTCAGAGAAGCTGCAGGGTGCAGCGCTGGGTGGGTCCAGGCCACGGGTCTGTCTGCGCTCAGAGGCAGGGGCCCGGGTGCAGGCTCTCGGGCTGGGCTCAGCAGGGTGCGCCCTCCCGGGCCACTCACCGAAGGCTTCGATGCAGCCGCGAAGCAGTTCCTCCACCGTGCAGCCCTTGTCCAGGTCCAAGGTGCCCGCCATGGCCGCCGGCGCCGGTGGGCTGGGTCCAAGCTGCGCTCCGGGAGCCTCCCACCGGGGCTCGGACCAGACCCCTGTCCCGGGAGAGGCAGAATCGCAGTCTGCGGAGGCGCCGGCCGGGGGAGCGGCCCGGAGGGCAGGAACCGGGCGGGACGGGCACGCCCCCTGCTGGGCAGGGGCGGAGTCGTCAGCCGCGGCCACTCCCGGGGTTAAACGGTCTGGCCAGGATGGTGCAACCCTCTAGTTGGGAAACGGACCCGCCGAGAGGCTTCCGGCCCTCCCTTGAAGTCGCAGGAGGGCCGAGGGGGCTCCCCGGGGATGGGGTCGAGTCAGCCCCCCGCAGGGTCTCTGCTCCTCGCCCCCTCTCCCCAGAGGCACCTGCAGCACCCGCAGCTCTGCTCTGCGCCCCTCCTGCTTCCCTCCCTCCACAGCCTCCCTTCCCCCGCAGGGTTATTTTGGGAACCCAGAGCCTGAGGGGACCTCGGAGGAATTTCTCCCTGGGATGAAAGGGGGGAGGAGAGAACCCAGGCGTCCTGCCCGCATCGCCCCCTCCTGGGCGCCCGGGGACTGGAGGCAAGGCTGGGACGGCCCCCTAGGGCGTGCCCCTGGGGAGGCGAGCTGGAGTAGGGGGGAGGAACATTCCTGGGGCGGGAGGTGGGGGGAGCCCGCTGAAGCCCAGAGGCGTCTGCTGGAAGCCTAAGCCTGGGAACCTCGCGCTCCCAGGCCACCTCCTCCGTGAAGGCCCCAGGGGTCCCGGCTTACCCCTTCCACAACCCTCTTCCTCCCAGCCTGGGCTCCCGACTTCCAGGCCCCCACCCTATACACAGTCTAACCGTGAACGCCTGCATAGGCTGGCCACGCTCAGGCACAAAGTCGAGCGCCCTAAAGGGGGCGCTAGCTCAACAGGGGTGGCGAATGCGTGTATGACACCACCAGTAACTCCAGTCGCTGGTGGGGTCACACGTACCTATGCAGGGACAGACTTTCATTCCGTACCTAAGTTATTCACCGAAGACAGGGACCCATATTGGGGTGCCAGACGCCCAGCTCCCACAAGGGCACAGACATAGCCTTCTCACACACACAATGGCACCCACACCCATGCAGACCTGCTTCGTGCGCATACCCATCTCTCTGCTCCAGAATGGAAACCCCTGCACCGGGGTGCCTCGGACTGCTGTTCACTCGAACTAGGCCAGTCTCGAGTCCCCGGCCACAGCGGCACTGACATCCGCACACGTGTGCACACACATCTGCTAACGCACCTACACGCATGCACACTCTCCTACACACGTGCACACACCTCCGTAGGTGCGCACACGCCCATTCCGCCGCTTGCCCTTCCTCCGCAGCCCAGAGCGACCCCAGCGACTCGATGTGCCCCACCCCGGGCCCTGGCAGAGCCTTGCCCCACGGGGAGGTCCTTCGCCCCTACACAGGCTTGGGGCGGGGGGCTCCTCAATGGAGTTCCCCGGTGGACTTTCCCTAGGAGCCTCCACGCCTCGCTCTGCCGCTCCCTTGCTGTGACCTTGAGAGTCACTTGGCCCTTCCGAGCCTCAATTTTCTCATCCGTCAAATGGGGGTCCGCGGGGGAGGGACCCGCTGAGACGTGGCCGGGTGCGCAGCGGGTGCCGCCCCCTCCCCCAGATCATCCAGAGCTCCCCGGCTCTCTGGCA